GTCTGTCTGTCTGTCTATTCTGGTCTGTCTGTGTGTGTGTGTGTGTCTGCCTGTCTGTCTGTCTGTTCGTCTGTCTGTAATGTCTGTCTGATTGTTTCTGTATCTGTGCTGTGTCTGTCTGTCTCTTTGTCTGTCTGTGATTGTCTCTCCTCTCTCTCTCTCTCAAGCTTATTAGATAATATCCAAAAAATAAATAAACAATTAAATAAATGACTAAATAAATAAAATAAATAAATAAATAAAATAAAAATAAATAAATGAATAAATAAAATAAATTAAATAAAATAAATAATTCATCAAGGAATAGTGGTGTGTGGAGACGGGTCGCTTGAGGGAGGCTGGAGGATGACTTAGCAATCCCTCGAGCGTTAACACTTGATTCAGATAACATAGAAATTAGTGGAAATTAGATGGAGAAAAATGTATTAATTTATATGATATGTAGGAGAGGGTGAAGAGAGTGGATAGGAGAGAGAGAGAGAGAGCTTGGGTGAAAGTAAGGGAGTGAATCTATCGCCAGGTCATTTTTTCTAGACTCATAATGACTCTCTCAGGTCAAGACAGGTCAGGTCGGGTCACGACAGACTTATAGGCACTCTCTCTAGCTGATTGAGGTGAGATAAGTTTTCTCTTCTCTCTCTCTCCGTTTCCCAAAAGTTGAATAAATTATCTTAAATTAAGTTTAAGGCACAAAGGACCGCTCAAGGGTATTCATACACACGTCATGAAACCCACTGCAAGGGTATTCTTCACGTCATACAACCCACTGCTCAAGGGTATTCATACACGTCATACAACCCACTGCTCAAGGGTATTCATTCACCGTCATACCCACCGCTCAAGGGTATTCATACACACGTCATACAACCCAATGCTCAGGTATTCATACACGTCATACAACCCACTGCTTAGGGTATTCATACACACTTCATACAACCCACTGCTCAAGGCTCACTTCTCTGCGATTTAATTAGGAAATACTGTAGTAATTTTATCGGTGTATGATTGTGTATTTTGGTGATTTTTTTTTTATATAATTAATTAAGATTTTTGATAAATTTCGGAGTATGGAAACAGACAGACAGAGGGAGGAAAAGAGACAGACAGACAGGCAGACAGAGGGAGGAAAAGAGACAGACAGACAGATGGAGGAAAGAGACAGACAGACAGGCAGGCAGAGGAAGACAGACAGACAGGCAGAACAGAGGAAGGAAGAGACAGACAGACAGATGGAGGAAAAGAGACAGACAGTGTTCCTGCAGTGTTCTTGCTTCACATAGGAGATCATCAAGGGCACCAGTCTGCCACAGTGTCAATCTTCTCTTCATTGCTGCCACATTTCTTTGTGCTTAGTCTTTTTGTGTGTCCTCTGACAAATAGATGTGGTATTATTGCCAGTATTTGAAGAGCTAAAGGGGAGGAAGTGGTCCTGAGTGTACTAGTTATGAGGCGAATCATCTCCCGAATCATTTCTTTGGTGGCCGCACACTTGGTGGTTCTAACAGGTTAGCTGGCACCACCTGACAATTTCTGAGTAAGTTTTTTAACCCATATGTCCGCATTTTCCATCGACATGCCATTCCACTGTGGTGGCTGCCTCTCATTCACCTTCGTGACATCTGCTACTATTGAGCAGCGTTTATTGGTACTATTTTCAGGTTGAGTAGACTCACTGCTATCATTTAGGATATCGGACTGTTGGGTCCCGGAGGTATCCACTGTGGCCACCTGTGTCGGCTCCCTGCCTTGTGGGTTCCAACAATTGTTTCTTCTGCGAGCCACACATGGTCGGTTGTTTTCGCACATTCACAGCTAGTGCAGTTTTGGTACTGGCTAGCACAGACGCAGCAATGTCTGTTACCAGGCATAGCGTTCCGCACCTTGGGACAGTTACGTCCGCCTCCGACATCTGCTTTGGTCCCATACAGAAGAAGAAACTAGTTCTTATGAGCAAAGGGCGGAGAGGTGAGAGGCTGGACTGCTGTGTCCGGGTAGGGGCATACGTGCGTGGTCGGCTCGACACTACATGAAGTGACCGTTACTTGGGGAGGCGACCGCAAGCGTAGAACACTTTGGCCCCATAGGGGAGAGTCTCGATGCCACCCCGCCAAAGTAGTCCTATCGACACTGGCACCTGCACTAGTCGTCCCACCAAGTACTCACAACTCGGTTGGTGATCACCGGTGAACATACGGAATATTTGCGATTAATGCCGTAAGGGATGAAGAACCTTCTGTGACGATGCTTAGGTTGACATCCGATATTCACCGACACACTCCGCTCCCACCTCCGAGTATGTGTCTCCAACAACATCAGATCAGGGTGACACTCCACCACACCCGCCATCTGGCCTACTACTACTACTTCTTGCTGTAATCTAAACTAATGAACATCAACTATTCCACCATTACAACACCACCACTAATAAAACAAACACCAACAACAAACACCAACCATCCCACAACCATTCAACACCACCACTAATAAACAAACACCACAA